ACTGCTTCTCAGTGGTGGGAAAATAACAAAAAATTAAAACACACCAATGCTCACGCTTGATTTTCGTAGAAAAAAATCAAAAACCAAGCAACTGCTGATGATATTGCAAGCTGTGATTTTGTATAGCTACGAGTATCAACGAGTATTAACAAAACTCACCAGCTACAATTCTAACCATAACCGTGGTGAGTTTGAGTTTCATTATTTTTGCTTTACATCCGAACGCGACACGAAACTATCGTTACTGCTGGCAGCAGTAGCTTTGTGTCCGCCATCGGTGAAGAGCAAAGAGGGAGGGGAAACTATACTTTCTCTTTCTAAAAAAACGATGTGAAACGGTATTATTTTTGTGTAGAGTCAACTCTCAGCTTCATTTTTGCATGGTGTGAATATTCTCGCAATTTCAAAGGAGCTTGTAATTTGGAGCGTATGAGAGCGAAAAAATATCATTTGAATGATGATTTTACCCACCCTGGTCCTTCCCTTGGCATTCTATTCTCAAAGAAAGTCTCCTAAGAATTAAATTGAATTCCTCACAACTAAGGAATAGTTTTATCCTCATATTTTGTTTGGAAAACTTTTCTGGAATTCTTTTGTCGAATTTCTTTTCAGATATCCCGAAAATTTCGATTTCTCTCGATTCGATTACTACCACCAGTGTTCGGAAAATCATTCTCAAATCTTATTCATTGAGCCTATCTGAGAAAACAATCTCGCGTGTGAATATGGCAAGCAAAACTCATGATGATCATGACTGCATATTCACGAACTCACACTCACATCGCAGACAATTCATTCCAGCCTAAAACTCAGAGAAACCACTTAAACGTCAATTGACAGCATGCTTATGAATGTTGTGTTAATTTTTCATCCCCTGATGCAAAAACAATAGTTATAACAATGAATAGCGTCAAAATATAAAGCAATGAATTTTTGAACTTGAAAAATCATCTGTGATTTTTTCGCTATTGAATTTTGCCAGGTAAAACTGACAGGCGCATAAACTCACTTGAGTTTTTAAGTTTTCTCCAAACACTGGCTCCCACAAACTTCATGAAATTATCCTCCGAATGTCCTTGGGATGTTCCTCTAAAGTTCACATGAGTCCTGCTCATCAGAAATTCCTATGAGTTTTCATTAAAATTGATTTTGAATTCAATCCAGGGTTTTCTTGAAATTCTACTCAAAACTATATATTTTCCTAACATGAAGCTTTAGTGTGATAATTTATTATCTGGAGAATGGTCTTAGAAGAGGGTAAGTAAATAGTTCCGTTAGAGTACGGCAGTATTAAAATAAATTAGAAGTTAGTCTTGAGAAAAGCAACAATTTTTGGTTTTCCAGATAATTGTACACAATTATTTTCGCTTTCCTCTTGTATGCTGAAATTATTTTACCATGATAAATCCAACATTGGCGGCTACTGTCATTACAAATTCAAGCGCAGCTAAATTTAATAAAAATAGCCATATGGACTTCACAGTTGGTATACTGTTTACTTTTGAGTTACTCCAGTGGTGAAAAGTGCGCAAACTAGAGCGATCTGAGTGACAGTAGAAGAAAAATGCTTATTTATTTTCCACGGGAAATTGTTCCTATGCATCTCGGCTATCTCGCGGCCAGAGGTGGTAAATGTCATAGAAATTATATAGGGAAAATGTCACGACATTTTTCCCCCATTTGTTTTCATGGTGACATTTATATAGGGAAAATGTCACGACATTTTCCCCCCATTTGTTTTCATAGTGAAATTTTTTTAAAAGAAAAAAAGGCTTGTTACCACCTCTGCGTCGCGGCTATCTTCGCCTGCGCGTTATAATTTATTATCAGTGGCGTAACAGCTGGAGTTTGCGTAGAAAAAAAAACTCCTATTATTTGATATTGTTTATGTGAATACGTAGTAGTCAAAAGTTTCAAAATCCGTCCATCAGGATCGCTGTAATAACCGGAAATTGTTGTTGCATTTCTAAATGGTTCATGCTTTACTTATTCCGTCCGGGTCCTTACCGAAGTAACAATTTTGGTTTTATAAGGATTCTGTAGACCATGATTTAGACTTGTAGCAGCTTTAAAACCTCGATAAAACTTGCAATGTTGCTTGGGTAAACTCATTAAACATTTGTCAGACACCATGGGCTATCGCTGTCAATATTCAGGCCAGATATGTTATTGAAATTTGTGAATCTGCTGGACGTTATCAAGAAGGCTCCACCAGTGGTAGCGGCTGAATTGTCGTGTAAGTTTTATTTAAAGTCATGGTGACCAGTAAATCTCAATTAGCTATTTTCTGGTATTTTTCCCGGAATTTTGGAAAAATTTCCCAGTTTAGCGATAAAAATGTATTATTAAGCATAAAACTGAATGCCATTGAGCCGAAGAGATCATTAGGTTAAATGTGTAATTACTAAGACAGCAGCATGTTTCCTGGATCTTGAATTCCGTTCTGCCACACGTTCGAAGTCAGCAAAATTTGTCCATACAAATTTGCTTTGATTGTTTGTTTGAGTTGATTGCTCTCAAGCATTACCTTTAGAATCATTCCCCTTCACAGAGTTCTGTTCATCATGCTTGTAAATTGATTTGAAATTATCTCTGGGAGACCATTTGTTTATATCTGTCCAGAGATTCTCTGCAGAACACTTCAAAAGCTTCATGAAATTCGTCCTTAGATTCTCTTCGAATTTGAGATCTTTTTTTAAATCGCTGCTTCCAGTCACTGTTTCGTTTATGTTCTGCCTAAATTTATCTTATTCCACAATTGAGGTTAGGGATTAGCTCTTCAATCTTGGAATTAATCGAAAACTTGTTATGCTGTCTTCGTTCACAACACATTTTTGATCCATCCCAAGACTGCAGAGCCAATCGGTTCTGATAACGATTTACTCCAAAACAACCTTCAACAGTACCGCTGATAACACACGCGCAGATTAATTAATCGGTGAACTATATTTAAGGGGCCAACATTCAACAGCTTAATTTCGTTCATATCACCGATAGAACCAAATATTTAATTTCAGTGAATCCCTTTCGAACACAATTAATGGATAACAATGAGAAGCGAGAGATAATAAACTAAGACTCGTCACAGGTAGGTTGGTATGTAAAATCCAGTGTACTTCCAAACATGTTGATTCGCACGTCGTCCCCCTACTCCACGGAGAAACCCCGCTGCTGGCTTAGCCGAACAGCGAGCTTCCCTGAAAATGGGGGTTTTCTCGAAAAGACCCTGTTTGGGAATAACTGATGACAGCGAACGAAAATCAAACTTAGGGTGGAAAGTGGAAGTGAATAGTAGTTTTAGTACAGGATAAATTAAGTAAAAAAAAACGTATTTAGATAGATGCGAGATGCGAGAATAAACAGAGTTGGCGTACCATGGTCACTCGGCGAACACGGAAGCTCAGTGGTTACCGAGGTGGTGGTGATGGTGGTCGCGATCGGGCCGCTGCTGCCGTTAGTACCCACTACACTGGTGGTGGTGCTGCTGGTGACGGCACCAGCAGGAGGCCCAGTGTGATGCATCGGGGGCGGTGGATTGCTAGTGCCCCCGGTCGGCGTCGGTTGGCGGATGGAAGTGTAGGAGCACAGGGACGAAGCACTGCCTTCTTCCTCCGGGGGAGGGGCCAACTTGGGTTTTTTTATGGCACTCTTGCAGTAGGACGAGGTGGGAGAAGGATAGGAGATACCGCCGCCACCGGGGTGCCCACCGCCGATTGTCTGGCTACTACCGGCAGCCGAGTAACTCGCACCGATGGCAGGGACAGGGGTAGTAGACGTGCATGGCTTGTCCGAATTCGGTTGTTGGTTTTGATTGGCTTTCGAATTTTGACTGTAATTTGGGTTTTGTGGGACCATTACTACTGTATTAGTGCTAGTGGCCGACGAAGAGGACTCGGAACTCTGTGCATAGGATGCATGTGGGGATCTTTGATCTTCTGTAAGATGCAGCAAAATTAAATGGATTAACACTAGTGGTTTGATCTACTCCAATTGTTGAGGGTTGGGTGGTGGTAGGGGGTGATTTCATTTTGTATGGTTTACTGTCTTTTCCAATCTTAACTTTGCTTGTGTACGCTGCATCGATGTTAGAATAGTTCGAAATGTATTCAATCAACTTTTTTTACATACTTATCTTCGAACCATTCTAAACAAATTAATTAAATAAAAATTTATTTTCATGTTTGATATTTTAAACTAATTTTTCACCGTAGAATTTACCCAAAAGACAACAACTCATATATACAAAAACAAACTTGCACCAAACTGGATAATCAGAACAAGTTTCATCGTCCGATTTTGTTGTAATTGTGCTTTGCTTTATGGGAATTTTGCAACCCACAGAAATAAATAAAAATGTAATTAAAGTGAGAAGGGAATAAACTTAATTAAATAAAAACAATACTTCAATCCACTACTGTGCGCGCTACTCGAACAAGAAAACCAAAAAAAAAAAATAAAAAAAAAATACAAGAAAACTATAACGCAAAATAAAAGAATCCATTTAAAGAAGAAGATGTAAAACACCAAATAAAACCTATGAGTATCACAACATCACCTACATTGAATTAGGAACTGTTCACTAGAAAACCAAATTATTATTTACTTTATTTCACTACTGATTGGCTAATAAAATGATACTTATATATAATTCAAAAATAAAACAAAAGTGTGACAAAAAAAAAAACGCTTGGAAATCTAAGGTAGTGCGTTGCATTGGAAAATAAAGAAAACAGGACAGAAAACATAAACTAAATAAATCAACTAAAGTGAAAAAATAGAAAATGAAAATGCAAGAGGAAAGGAACGAAAAGCTACTCTATGTGCCTCCCTAGTGGAGCGCAGTGTGATCATCACATAACAATAAAGAAAAGAAGGTACACGGAAAAGAAGGTGAACAGTAGAGGGTTTCTCAAAAAGTGTGTTGTAGCAATAGTAGTAGTAGTAGTAGTATTAATAGTAGTATGTTATTAAATAGAGCGATCTGAACTTATGCGACTCACCACCAGAGGGCGAACAATTGATGGGCTTCTGACCGGTGTGCGTTTGCCGGCGCACCAACATCTGGGTTGGCTTGGAGGCTGCATTCGCCGACGAGGAACGATTCCGCATTGGGCCGAGAATATCCGTTTCTCGATTTTTGGTAGGTCTGAAATGGGAAATAGAAAGTATTGTCAGTAGAGCTTATATAGAGACTTATGGGTAAACAAAAACTCAGGAGTAAAATCAACTCTAAACTCACAAAAATCATATGGTCCCGCGATAGTTCGTCATATATGGATCTCAATTTCGTCGAAATAATGAAATGCAATGAAAAATTGCATGATAGTTCAAAATTTTATCGGCTACTCGAACCGTAAGGTGTGTTCTTTCTAGGAAAAAATATAAATATAACTTTTCCTTAGAAGGATAATCATGAGAGAAACCAAAATCATCAAAATTTAGCCTAAATGTTGGCTACCCGAGCAAAGTCCAGCATCAAAATATCAACATCAAACTGAAATCCTAATTTGATTTCAGTTTATGCAATTAATAAATTTTGTTTTCATTTTGCTGTACATTTGCTCTTCAAAAATATGTTCTTGCGGGTTTGTTTTCATTGCCTTAGCACAACATCAAATTGAATACTTGTTTTGTTAACAACAGGAAAAATTGATATCAAATTGAGTTTTCAGTTTTCTCTCACTGATAGCAGAAATAGTTTTCAATGTGATGTCATAGGAAGATTTTGTTGCTCTCAATTTTGATATTTTAACCGTTAAAACGACCAAAATGACAGCAACCTGAGCAATCATTATCAGCGAAATCACAACATCAAATTTAGATTTCAATTTGATCTCAGATTTTGCTCGGGTAGAGTCTCAAATAGGTGTTTTGGGACCGGACAACCTACTTTATAAGTTTGATTCTCTCTTGTCGGCGAACATACTTTAGCACTAAAACTGAGTGCTTCGTGTATTTTGTAAAGAAAATTAATGTAAGTTATGGCACTCTAACATAGATGTCATATAAAGGTGAAGAAATTCACTGGTGCATAATGATTTCCAAGCAAATACCATACCATACCAAATATATTACACTGAAGTCTTTTTTTACACGGTTTTTTTTACGCGGTTTTTTTTTACACGGTTATTTTTACACGGTTTGTCACGATTTACATGGTACGTTTTTAACGATTTCTCGACAACGATACAACCTATCGACTTGATTCCAATCACATTATCCGTTTCAAGCTATAGGTAATCGAATGGCATACTTAGAAAAAAATCACAATTTTTGGTGTAAACACAGAAATTTTTAAAATATGGCTGTATGGACCATATCATGCTTTAATTACAAATGGCATCAAAATCCGATTTTTTTAAAACATTTAAGCATGCGAAAAATCAAAATCTCGTAGGTTTTTTTTTACACGGTACGTATCCCCCGTGTAAAAAAAGACCTGAGTGTATATTATATTATATATTAGAACATTTTCGCGTGTTGTGTTCAGTGGAAGTGCTTGTAACAAAAGACAGAAATCTCGGAATACTCCAGCAGGAAGGCGTAAGATTGTACGAAATCTTTCGTGGGTATAATTAAAATACATGTTTATATTTCATTTCAGCCGATTACATCTAGCTCAACTTACTTCTTCTGCCATGCAAAAGTTGTTGGCTATGTCAACAAACTGCGGCGTCATATGAATAATCATATCTAGTACCTTCCTCAAAATTGTCCTTTGCTCGCTTTCTACTTTCTATATGGGTCGTTCCATCTCAAGTGACCGAGCAAATGCATCGACTCTATCAGATTTGAACCAAATTTAAGGGGTCAATTTATTTTAGGCCAAAACTAAAAAAAAATCTATAGTTTTGTGCTGACCGCCAACTGATCCCCATTTTTGGCGATTTTTAATGAACACCTTTTTTTAATTTTTACATATCTCTAAAACTAATAAAGATACAAATGATAATGGCTATCCTTTTTAAAGCATTTTATTATTTATTTATTTGTTGTTTCATCTTCGATAAAAAAATAAAAATCGTGCAGACTACTTTACCTCATATTCTTAATCAAATTTTTAAAAGTACTTTTGCTAATCAAAAAATCGAAATCCTCGTTAGTATCGTTAAAAGCTCGCAGACAAGCGTCGAATGGATTGTTGAAACCGTAACCAGTCCGGTGAGCCGGCACAGCGACAAGTTGTGAGCTCCTCAACTGTCGGTGTGGAACGTATAGAGGGACATCCTGTAGTAGTTGAGGACAATGTTGCCACGCAGTAAGTCGAAAATAACTAGTTGCTGAATGTTTGTGCGCCTAGCACGTAAGGTTTCCAAATCAATCAGCAAACAGCGTGCAGTATAGTCAGGCAGATTTAGCGGGTCATTCCATGGAAGGTTGCGCAGCGCGAATCGAATGAAAACCTTCTGAATTCTTTCGACTCTGATGATCAGCGATGCGTGATAAGGTGTCCAGACAGAGACCGTGTATTCCAGGATGCTACGTCCCAAAGTACAGAACAATGTTTTTTGTGCAAAAATGTCTGTAAACTGCCACGTATAGCGTCGGCTGCATCCAAGAACCGTAGAAGCTGTAGCCGTGACAAGTGCAACATGTTCGTTTAATCTTAACTTCGAGTCAATAGTAACACCAAGATCACACATTGAAGTAACACGCTCTAATGACACGGATCCAATTGATCATTTTGTCAAGCTTCTGCATTCATGTTCCATCAGATGTCACTGCTGTTGTTTGCGGTGACATCTATCGGAAACTACACACAATCTGTTTTCCGTTAATTGTTCACAGAGGACACTGCAGTGTAAAACATGTCTGGTACCTCTATATATGCAGTTAGATTATTATTCAAAGTCCCTCCTTTTTTACACATTCTGCACACAAAATAGCTCACCCCTCAAAGAATTTCCCGCCGAATTTTATGTATGGGCGGGGCATAAAGTATCTTTTGCGCAGATTATCTAAAAAAGGAGGGACTTCAAATGTTAAAGCAAATGCATATATAGAGGTACCAGACATGTTTTGTAGCGTCAGGTACTCTATTTTGTAATCTGTGAAAGGGAAATCACAAATCGAGTGTCAACAAAATACATGGCATGTTGAGAGATTGAGCTCGTGAGAGAGAATTTCTCTCTCAATTTTGAATTTTTTTGGCTCTCTGGGGACTGGTAGTAAAGCTGGTAAAATTGTATGGGGAAAAATCATTTGTATTTAATTGTAGCTTGTTTAGCATTAATTTCCGGGAAAAAACTGAACGACAAAGCCCCTGACTAATTTCTTTAGGTTGTCGTTCACTTTTGTTGACCTGAATATGCACCGAAAGCGAATTATTCCCACTTCTCTCAATTTTTATATGGGGAATTTCATCACTTCCTACCAGCGGAACAGCGCCATCTCTGTGGAAAATGGTCGAACAAAATGATTAATTGTGTATTGGTGGTTGACGGTGGTGCTTCGACGGGAAAACGATATCACCTTGCATTTTCCTATGTTGACACTCATACCATTTTCTTGGCACCATAGGAGTAGCCCATTTATGTAATTTTGCAGGGCGAGGCAGTCGAGTACGGTCGCGATGACTCTGAACATCTTCAGGTCGTCGGCGAACATTTGCTTAAATGAAGAAATCTGAAGGCACAGATCGTTGACGAAAAGGACAAACAGCGTTGGGTCGAGCACATTTCCTTGCGGTACTCCCGAAGTAATTGCAAAGGCCTTCGAGCGTGCAGAATTGATCGAAACGAAGGAATGGCGGTCGGTCAAGTAAGAGAGAATCCACTCAACTAACCAAGTAGAGAATCCAATAGTTCTTAATTTTTAGGTAGCGTACACGTGTGGCACTGTGTCAAATGCTTTTGAAAAGTCGATGTTAATGGAGTCCACCTGTCGCCGGGCTTCAACCTCTCGAAACAGAGTATTAGTGTAGCACAGCAAATTTGTAGTAGTAGAGCGGTGCTGGATAAACCCATGCTGGAACTCCGATATTATAGGATGAACCACATTGTACCGAGCATATGCAGAGAATATGCAGGAGATCGGAGAAGCGAGTGAGCGTGGGATGGGCGAATACCATCTACCCCAGGGCCTTTAGAAACATCGAGGTCATTCAAGACTTTCATAACGTCGTCCAGTGAGAAGCGCAACGTTGGGATATTCAGGTTGTACTCGTGGATGCGATCGAAACTTGAAGGATTCAGAGGTGGTGAATTTGTGTTGTAAACTGATTGGAAGAAGCTCGCAAACAAGTTAGCAATATCGACAGGGGAGCTAGCAGCGATCCCGTTAAACTCAACTATGTCCGGAATACGATTACCAGACGTGAGTGAGTTCGAGTGATTTCACGAACTTCCAAAACGCCGATGGGTGCTGCTTCAGATTCGCTTGCGTTCGCTGGACGTACTCCCCATAGCTAGACTTCAACAGTCCGTTGTATCTCGTTTCGATTAATCGGAGACTATTTTTGCTCTCGTTGATTCTGGTACTGAAATAGCATTTGCGCGACTTACGCAATACGTTCCGCAAATTACGTAGCTCAGGGCTCCACCAGGGTCGCACTGAGGTTAACCTCGTAACACGCCTTCGGAGAGGAACTCACGCATAGAGTGTTTCATACAGATTGTCGTGGAATTGGTCAGCAATAGCGTTGACAGAAACACCATCCAGAATCTGTTGCCAATTGATAGTGGACAGTTTATTATTCAACGAGCCGAAATCGCAGTGCCTGAAATCCAATTCAGGTGGATACGAATCACAGTCCGATAACATGGGCGGATTGCACTCGGCATCAAGTCGTAAGATGAATGGCTTATGATGATGATCGATATCCAGTAGAGGGACCGGAGGCTCAAGATGATTAACGTTATCCGGATCACTGATGAAGGCTAAGTCAAGCAGTCTTCCATTCAAATTAGACAGTGAATTGACTTAAACGTACTACTTTTTCTACATTGTTGACAACTCTGCAATTTTTTAATTTGAAAACTTTAAATGCAAATATCTCAAAATGTTCCTACTTTTATTTCTATTTTGATGACGATAAAGCGCTCAGCAGATTTTTTTTTACATAAGAAAAATATGCTTCGTTTGTTTAGCAACAAAATATCTCAAAATTTTTGAATTATAAAAAAGGTCATGATAAATGCAAACTTTTGAAATGATCAAAACCATGAACTCTCGAGAACAGACAAAAATCGTAGAACAATAAATTGTGATCTAATTTTTAATCTTTTTGTTAGTACACTTTTTTGGGTATTTTTTTCATAGAAAATGATATTCCAAAAGCTAGCATTTTACAAGAGCTTTAAAAAAAATAAAATATCGGACAAGAGCATTTAGAGCTTTTCAGGTTTTTACCATTTTTATTTAATTTTTACTTAAAATTAATAAAACCATTTTTTTATATTTTTCCCAAAAAAAAAACATTATTTTTCTCTACAACTTTGTTACAGACGACATTTCGTTCAAAAGTGCCGTTCCTGCGCTACATATATATATATATTTTTTTCATTTCAAAGACGCCATTTTTTAAACTTTACAAGATCTAAATAGGCCGAATTTTAGCAACAATGTGAATCATCGCCCTTAACAAACAATTATGTAAAGTTTCATACAAATCGGGACAGGTCAAGTTTTTCTGATTCGTCATTTGGAGTGGAGCTGCTAAAATTTGCAAGTTGTATAGTTTCTGTGAATTTTGAAATTTACCTAAGTTACATTGTAAATCATACGAATTAGATTGAGCATATATCTTTTTTGATATAAAACAATGAGATTCACAGAATAACATTTGAATATTTGGAATGAGGAAGATTACATGAGAAAATTTTCAATAATTTGAGGCTAGGCCAGTTTTTCATATTTTGATCCTATTGACATTTTAGAATTCTGACAGCGGCCAAAAGTATCCATTAGTACCGTCTCAATGACGCATCCATCTAGATAAAATTGATAAATAGCAGATTTTTAGCGATAGGCCCAATCTTAGATCCATAAGCTAACATTAGAGGAGCCATTTCCCCTATGATGAGAATGCCAAATGACTCTTGAGGAGAATTTTAAAGGAATTCTAGAGATGATTATTAAGGATTTCTATGGAGATTTTCAATAAATTAGAGTAAGGTGGGGCAAAAGTTCGTTTTGAGGTTTTCTACGCCTGTGCAAAATAAAATTCATTGTTTTGGCACTTGTTTGGAAGACCTTTTAGAGCCATTTCCCCCAAAAAATCACAAAAAATGGTGGCGTTTTCGAAGAATTATAGGCAAAAGTGTGTTTCGGGATGACAATTGTACCAACTTTGGGGACGTACAACGAGACAAATTCAATAGTGAAGGAGTAATTTTATGACAGGGCATAATTGCGTTTTTCTTGAAGATAATTTAAGGAGTATCAGACTTTTGAAATGTCCTAAGTTAGCTACAATTGCCTATAGTGGGGCAAAAGTTCACGTCGTGTCTCAAACACATGTAATCATTCACAAATATCTAAAGCGCATTTATTTACGCTAAAACACCATAAATGGAGCAGAATGTGACAAAACCTAGACAAAATTGTGAACTTATTGCATTTGTTGTGGGAAAACGCTATTTTTGAGTGGAAACGTTGTTCTTCAAGTTCTGAGAATATCTGGAAACAAATATGTGGTTTCTTTATGTTATTCACACCATCATGGGTCCCCCTATTCTGCGAGTTACGTGACTCTCTCTCTCTCGCTAACCGGTGAGGTGACAATTGTCACCTCACCGGTGACAGAGAGTCACCGGTGGGGAAAACTTTCGTTTTGAACGCTGTTCCGAAAAAAAATCGTTCTTGCTACGAATGGACTGAAAACTCATCAAATTTCTGTAAGAGAGACAGTTGTAAACCTTGAATGAGGGATCCATACACAGAATTAATTTGTTTCCAAATGCTTGAAGTTTAGAGAAATTTAAATATTCTCATCTAAGGTCGTTCGACCCCACCTTACGCTAAAGGTAATTTCTAAGGTAGATCTGAAGAAACTATTATGGAGATTATGAGTACTATTCAAGGGAATTCAAAAGCAAATCGGAAGGAATTCCCAGGAGCATTACAAGGAAATTCTGTCCACGAGGAAAACTTAATGATGAATGGCTACAATCCTGAAACTACACCTAACGATCATGGGCGTGAACAGACTTCTTCATAAGGGGGGCCAGCCAACCAATAGGGAGGGCGTCTCATAACTTAGAGGCGTATTGATTTAAGTGGAAAACCATCCGCTATTTCCTGATTGGGTATCCAAAAATGACCGGAAAATTTAAACTCCACTTTGAAGCCTAAGATAACCATATAGAAAAAGAGTTCCATTCGTATTCCATTCATTAAAAGAGTTTTTTCCTTACTCCACAAGTAGGGCGTTAGAGGAGTCTCAAGAAATTTCATTATATTTTGGATGACTTTGAAGTAGCAAATTATGATAGTTTGATCTACAGCAGCGGAACGTTTGAGGTGTTGATGAATTAGAAGTAGCAATAGGGCAACTCCAGGGCGTTCGAGGTGTATTTAGAAACTTTATGATTTTTTGGATGACTTTGAAGTATCTGAAGGGCGCTTAGTAACACGACAGATCTCCCGAAAAATTGGTTTGGGGGTTGAATAGAAACTTGATGATGTATTGGATGATTTTGAAGTAGCAGCTGGACGCTCTAAGTGACTATTGATCTCTTTTGAAAATCTTGAGAGATTGCATTGCAATAACAGGGAGTCAGGGATATATATATATATATATATATATATATATATATATGAGCTTTATAATTGTATGAATAGCATAAAAGTATTTTGTATGGATAAAAAGCATCAGTGTGGAATGTGAAATCAAAATCAACGAAATATGGATAATAAATCCAATGGAATTTAATTCTTAATATAGCAAAAAAAAACTATGCAGAAGCTTAAGTTAGTTTTAGGATAGTTTCAATGAGTATTTTTAAGAAATATCAAAAAGTTTGGGAGGATTTGGTTGGACATTTTTTGCATATTCTAAGAGATTCTCCTATGAGAATTTTGAGAAGCATTTCAAGGAAATTCTGAAGATAATTTTCATAGAATTCTGAGGTGTATATTTTCCGAAAGCTTTGAAATTTTGCTTTCCAAAACCATTTAAAAATCAAAAATCGGTTAAAGAATGATTGAGTTTACTCATGGTCACTTTCCCAAACAAACTTTAACAAAAAATTTAAATTTAGGGGATGGGTTCAATTAGAAACAATGTGATTTCATAGTGTACTTGACTAGACTAACAACCTACAACAGATCACTTGAAAATCAATAACCTCTTGGAATAGCACAGCACCTCTCGCTTCCCCATCGGTTTCCCAGGACGGTTGTGCCAAGGACCAGGTACCCTCTGGGAGGTGATCAATTTCTGACATGGATCGAAATGCATCATGCGACAACGCAAATCGCATGAGAAATAGTTCAATGGTAGGCATATCGAGGGCAAAAAACCAGTTTTTGACTTGGGTAAAACCTCATCATGCTACACATCAAACAATATTACTCTACACACAGTCACACATATCAACCAGAAATTATGTTCCCTCTATTCCCTAAGTGTGGACCGAACATTTATTGTCGGAATTTAAATTTGTAAGAAGGGACAGAATTCTCCGTAGGTGGTTGAATTCATATTTAACCTCTTATCAGACGATATTTCAGCGCAAGAATTAAATTTGTCGAACTTCTTAACGGAATCCCTTTACGAAGAGCTTTGAGTGTGTTGGTTTATTTAATTTAAATTTCGTTATAATTGCTTATCTTTTGACAGATACGCGTATTTCGTCTACTACTTGCAGGCTTCATCAGTGCCAAGTACTCAACACCATTTGTTTATTCCAAGCTATGATTTGAAAAAAAAATCATTTTTTAGCTTCGCCCTTATAAAAACGTATAGTCTAAAAACATAGTAAAAAGTGCAACCATTATAATGTGAAAAGTTTTATTCAAATCGGAAGGGGTTTGAGCAAATCTAGCTTTATTGAGGTTTGACCGGGGCATGCTCTTTTGAGTGAAGACCGACAGCAGCAGTTGTTCCAATCGATGTGTATCACGCCATAGTCTGTACATTCGTTAGCAGCTATTGTTTCGGTGCGTTTTGTTCATTGCCGGCAGCAGCTCGATCACTGCTCGTTGCGGTTGAAAGTAATCAACTGGAAATGCCCGTGGAAATAAAGCACAGAATCGAATTCCACCATGTGCAAAATTTCCTACTTCGTGAAAGCACGGAATGCTTATTCCGCGTTTTCTTCAGATGAAAGCAACATACCGGATTGCAGAGGAGAACGCACTTTTCAAATGTTCAAGTCAGAATAATCTGAACACTGGTGTTTCAATTTATGGTAAAATTGTTTTAAAAGCTTTCGGCTCCGTAAAGTTTTTTTTTAACATTGAACAAAACAAAACAAACCGATTTACACATCCCTTGCATTCAACTCGAATTGTGTTATCACTCAAGTTCAGCATGTTCTTTATTATGTTTTCCTTTTTCTTTTTTCAGATTGTAAACAACATTGCTTCTCATTTGCTCTTAACCATTTTTTTTCTTCTTCGATTTCCTTTTGAAGAGAGGAAAGCGAACCAGGGAAGCGCCTAGCATCATCACCCCTCGACGAGAGGGATGATGGAAGCCGACGTAATTTTTCGGTTTTTCTCACCCAACCGTGAAGCCTACTCGTCCGACAACGGTAATTATTGTTTTATTTGGCTTCCACGCTTGTTTTCGACTGCTTAAGACAGCTTAAGACCCGATTGTTAACTTCTTGAGCGTGAGCGGCAATCAGAAATTCATAAACACGTACATTATTTGGACGTAATGATAATTTAATTGCTCCGAGTGAGAGGATCGGATCGGACTACATCGGCTGCAGTAGGAAAGAAGTCATTCGCTGGTCGCAGTCAGTGATACTTACTTCATGATCGTTGTGTGCATGTTGTGGGCAATGATAGCGTCCGGTGCCTCCATCCATATCTCGCCGGGGCCAGTTTTTGAACTTCGGCCGACCTCCAGGTAGAAGTACCGCTGGGAGGCGCCGCATCTGTAATGGAGGTAAACAATGATACGAATATCGTGTTAGTTTGGACAAGCAATCACAAGTAGCCGCCGGAGGTGAGAGTGGTCGGTAGGTACTTTGGTGTGTTCGAATTAATTGGGACGAAATTTCTTTTTAATTGGACCGTTTGCTACGCTTCCATGAGCGTGAAATGTAGTTCTAGACTTGGGTAAATTGAGATAATTCTTTATGATGATTTATTCATAGAATCGGTTTAACCAGAAGCTTATCGCTGCGAAATGAGTTATTCATTGTGGTTTGAATTTTCACTCATCAGCAAATGGATTGGTGATGGGAGGAACAAAATGCTTCGAAATGAGTTGCTCTCGCAGCATAAGTAGACCATTTAGCTGGGAATAACTCAAGAGGAGTAACTTGTAGTCATATTAAGGACTGATGAATGAGCATATTGGTGATAAGGGTGATGACCGAGGACTGACTACGATATAATAGAGAGGGGAATTTTGCAATTAATTCCTTTGAATTTCTTGCAAATATTCCATTCTTCAAGTCTTCTAACGGATATCCTTACAGTATCAGTCAATGATCCCTTCAATATTGAATTGTAGAGAGTCGAAGTAGAAGCTTTCACCGACAGTACCACCACCTACCGGAGCACGACATTAACAGTGAACAAAAAATTGGCAAACCTACCTTCTAATCGATGCCAGCGAAAACTCGACCATCTCGACGCGACTATCGCCGGAGCTGGTCGTCGGCGGACCTATCCGTACCAGCGAGAGCGTTTTGTCCGTGATGCAGAGGCGATACTTGCCCAGGATTCCGTAGCTATCGCCCAGCCCTTTGCGCTCGACAAACACATCCCAAACGTGCTCTGTGAAATTAGAGAGAAAGAGTAAAAACGAATTGGTTAGAAGAATTAAAAACATCATAAATCAAAAGTTTTTCTATTTGGGGAAACATTTTTTGTTTGATATACACAGGGAGGTGAGGTTTGCAGTTTCAGCAAAAACGAACGCAGGATATCATGGGTGTGTATTCTAGTGCAATTAGTGAGTGGACCACTAAAAGTGAAATTTAATTCACTTTCACTGTTTTCGTGTTCACGGGCCCGGCGATGACGACAGTGGTAATCTGGACACATTAGGAATAAGGCACGCGATTATCATATTGGGTTGGGTATTCACAAAGTGCATCGTAGTATAATGCGAAAAAATTCCATTACACTGCAATGGACCCTGGTATTTTTACGACATTTAGTACTATGTTCAGGGTAGAGTTGAAACGAGCATTTAAGGGTTTGATTATTAATCGTTTTTTAGATTAGTGCATAGATACTGAGAAATTCATGGAATCTATTGTAAAAATACTAGAACTAACAGCAAACAGCAAGTCTCCTATCGCCTGTCTCCTCTACTGGTGGCAGATTTTGCATATCTTTAGGCAGAATCTCCCAAGAAGAAGGATCTATTTTTAACCTGCCGCCCTCCGACCCCTGATTGTCGCGTCGTCGCCATCGTCGTCGAACAGGGATTTTTCCATTGACGGAGATGTCCCGATAAATTTTCAGCCAGCTCATTAGGTACCTATATGCTGTGTCTAAACTCTGTCGGGCACGGTGGTGTTTGCTCATTTGTCGTTTTTGTGTATCTCGTGTCACTCGTCGCCACTTGTCTGGGTGTCTCTCATCCTCCATATGCAACTGCATTTGAACCGAAGAGTGCAGCCTTATGAAGTTGCATCAGTGCTTCGAGTTGATGTAAACAAGTTCTAAATTTGATCTGGTGCGACGAGACGAAGCGAAATTTGAACTCTTCCCATGTCCTGTGGTTCGGAAGAGGGAAGGAGGGGTGATCTTGCTCGTTTAGTGGCGTGCTGGGAACGGGTTAGAGGTCTCCGGTACGTGCAATGGGTAATTTATTTTTGGCAGACAGAAGTGCAAGTTCTTGATTCGATGCGCCCGATGTCCGATGTTGTTGTTTACTTACGGCGATGCATGAATATAGTCTGGCGCATTACTTAATGGCGTGGCCACAGAGTGGTTTTCGGAAGGTGAGGGGAGTAGCAGGGTACCAGTGCGCAACGCAGATGATGCTTTAAGATGCAGTTAAGAGCCAATTGACTGTATGCCATCAGCAGCGGTGCGGTAGGTTTAATTGATACCAGTCTTGAAGAACACGGCTTTGGATCACATTACCCTGGGACGTGTTACATAACATTTAATTTTAATTAATGATCAATTTCATAACCGAATGGTTCTATTCTCGGTGGGAATGTGGAAAAAACAGAGTAGTAATTAGCTTTCAAAGCACTTAGATAGTCCGCTATTCCTGGTTTTGAATCACCAGAAAATTGTCAAAGGTTCTCCGTTTGACCTACTGAACCTTCGGCTGAATATACATTTTGGCATGATCAATTTAGATGCATTTACGTCACGAAATATATTATATATTATATATTAAGGCCAAATGGAACGTAAATTCATAGGACTCTAATTTCTATCAATAGTGAAAAGTGAATGGAAGATTCATCCATCTCAATAGGTCCTGCATGGCAATATATTGTTTTGGAAAACTTTTAAACCATTGGGAAATCCTGGGGAAAACGGAACATCAGAAGTCTAGAAACCCGATGAACTAAGAGATATTCATCATCTTGGGACTATTTATGGTGTATAAAATAATAATAAGTATTTCATACTACACTGTGTCTACCATACCCACACATCGTCCTGAATGAACTATATCCTCCTCTTTAAGGTGGTTTGCCTAAAAGGACATTAATAGATAGAAGCATACCCACATGAAATTGTCGGGACTCCAAACATTTGAAACATTAAAAACTACAATGATTCTCGAAATAATTCAAAGTGTTCCAAAACTACCCTGATCTCTGATCTTAAAGTATTGTTAACTTCCCGAGCTACGTAAAATAATGTCCTGATATCATCTTGAAAATTCGTCTTGTTATTCCACATATAATTTTGTTTTCAGTTGTTATCGCATAACCGAATTAGCTATCAACCTCGACTAATTCGGATATCAGTTGTTATGTTCATGATAATGAATATGAAATGATGCAAGGTTAGTTCAAAACTTCAAATATTATCCGGATGGTATAAAAAAAAAACACTGCCAATAATATTTCAGTTATCAACGTAAGGCTGTAAATAATTTGAAATTTGTAGAAAAAATTGCATGGATCACAGGATGTGTCATCAAGATGTTCTCAATGCTAACTAAACAAGTTATTTTTGTGATGTCCAAGGAGTATTCTTTTGTTATAAATTCATTTGGCTGTTTATTCAACCACAACGATAACATGTTTAGTTATAAAATCTTAATAACCGGTGTCAGAACTTGTCATCACTTTGGTATAATCCTTTGCTCGGGTTGGCTTTGTAATTCTAGTTATTCAACAAATGTTGGTTTATCTTCGATTCTCCAAGATGATGGTGGATTGTCTTCAGTTCTCAGAGTAACTGAGGTTTTTGGGTGTACCCGAAAATCAAACATTTCCGTGAATTCCACAAGCTGATTTTCTGGAGTAAACCTTGGCCCACTTAGTAATACTCTAAGGACCATAAGGTCCCGAAGAAACGTGCTCAACTGTTTGGCTCAGTTCTGCTAATCGATGCACCCCTCGAAACATAGGAAAATCCACGAACCCCTCATTTTATCTGTCAACATTTCATAGCGAATCAAAACAAACATAGTGTAGTACTAGAATTTCGACTAGAATGGGGTACGTTAATCGATTTGCTTGGGACCAATAGTCAAGTAGTGAGCCAATTTGAAATCGTTGGTAGATAGTACCGTTGTACTCCTTTAATCTAGTACATCAAAAAGTACAATTTGAGGTACTAGCTCAAAGCTGTACAACGATAGTACAACAGTGTACTTTGTATGTCTGTACAAGGTATAATGGAACAAACTCTTTTGTTTATTACAGCGCTCCTAGTGGACATTTTCGGAAGCTTTTGGCGTCTATTTGTTGACAATAACAATAACAGTATATTTTTTCAGTTCATAAAACGCTCTTGTTTTGGAGACAGTCACCATGCAAGAGGAGCGTAGAAAAGAAAAACGTGCGCAGTCACCTGGAAAATCCATCGTAGTCCGCGTCTAAGCTTGCTAAAGCGATGAATTTTCCTAGAAACACCGTATGGCGCTTGCTCAAAACGTAGAGGGGAATTGCCAACAATCAGCTAAATGGAAAGGTAGTGAAATCCATCAGAGGCAACTCAGGAATGTCCGATCGTGATTTGAGTAAAAAGTATGATGTCGCCCGTAGTACAGTGCGGTGAATTCACTACCGCGAAAGCTTTCAGGCTAACCGCGCCAGTAGGCAACCAAATCGATCACTCAAGCAGAATATCGTAATACCGTAGCTAGAAACCGTGCTCGAAAGCTGTATGACAAGTACGGTGGAGTGGGTGCATACTTAAAGGGTGTCCCACATCAAATTGCTTCACGGAAAAAACGCTGTAGAAAATTATCCATTGGGTATTTTCTCTTGAAAATTTGTGTAGATGTAGTTTGGAGTGTATTGTTTACACTGTATTTTTATCGCTGTCAGTTTTTCGAAAGTTGGAAAAAAAATGGCGTCACCTGAAAAGCAACGTCGCGAATTGATTTTGCGCAAGCACCTGGAAAATCGTCAACTCTCTCATCGGGACATCGGAAAACAACTCGGAATCGTACAGTCAAAAGTGAGTCGTGTGATTAATCGTTACTACGAAACTCTGAGCATCGAACGGAAAGAGAAGTGCGGTCAGAATGGATGTTCTATTAGTGATCAGGATCACAAGCGTGTCGTGAAAGCGTTTAAGCGGAATCCCAATGCTTCGGTCAGGGATGTGGCCAAAAAGTTGAATCTGTCCAAGTTTTTTCGTTCAGAGTGCCAAGGACCGGGAGGGACTGCATACGTACAAAGTGCAGAAGGCTCCAAATCGTGACGAACGGCAAAATACGGTGGGAAAGTCACGGGCCCGGAAACTGAACACCCAGATGCTGACGAAGCCTCATTGTCTCATCATGGATGATGAGACTTACGTCAAGGCGGACTTTCGGCAGCTTCCGAGGCTACTGTTCATCATCGCCCAACACAAGTTTGATGTTCCGGAGGAAGTAACGAAGCAGAAACTTTCATGATTTGGCAAGCGATCTGCTCATGTGGCAAACGGAGTGCGCCGTTCGTAACTAACGGGACTATAAACGGGGAGATCTACCTCAAGGAGTGTCTACAGAAGCGTCTGCCTCCTCTGTTGAAGCAACACGAGGGCCCTACGATCTTCTGGCCGGATCTAGCTTCGTGCCACTATTCAAATGTTGTCCTGGAGTGGTACGAAGCCAACGGGGTCACTTTCGTACCCAAGGACATGAACCCCCCTAACGCACCGGAACTAAGGCCTATCGAAAAATACTGGGATATTGTGAAGCAGCCACTACGGAAGTATCCCAAGGAGGTCAAATTTGAGGACGACATGCAGAAAAAGTGGGTTTCCGTACAGAAGAAGCTGCAGTCAGATGTTGTACACAACCTAATGAGTGGAGTTAAGCGTAAGGTGCGAGCGTACGGTTATGGTATTGAAGTTGAATGAAATAAATATGCCAAAAGCTTACTATGGGTTATAATTTATTGTCTGAAAGTTTGAAAAGGATCGGTCAACTGGCAATTTTCCACAGCGTTTTTTTCTGTGATGCAATTTGATGTGGGATACCCTTTATGGATGTTGAAACCTATTTAAAGACCGGAGGTGGTGTTGTGTTTGCGGATAAATTCGCACGCAAATATATGGTCTGGCAGGGAATTTGCAGCTGCGGTCAGAAGACAAAGGTTTTCATCACTGAGAAAATGATGAACTCGGAGGTT